ATCATCTCTTACCTTAGCTTTCTTACGTTTCTTCATTGATCTCTTGGGTGATTTAACATTGGATCGTCCAACGGAGTCGGAAAGATCTTCAAGTTCATCCCCACTTTCTCCATCAATGACCAAAGACCTTCACCTTCCGATGTTGAGCATCCATCATCAAGAATTGCCATGATCTTCTCTACACAAGATGATTTCAACTTGAACTTTTCTTGATCGACGCTCACATAGGGAATATAGTCTTTAACAGTCATCTCGATGAAGTTGCCATTTGGATCCAACATGAATGGAGTTCTTCCGGTCGGCCATACAAAAGAATAACCAAGATCAACGCATCGCTTTCCCATGGAGAGCACGGAGGGTGTGTCCTCCAAGATGTGAGCTTCTGCTGGTTCGCTAAATGCCTCGAACTTGATGCTTGAACGTTTGGTCGAACACGTTACCCCATTTGCTGTATGGAAGTTGACGACCTTGTCATCGTATGTTGGGAGATCCATTCTACTTATCCGTGTGGATGAAATGAGATCATGGCCACTTCCAGAATCCAATATGAATCTCTTATCTCTCTCTTCAACAGGAACAGTGATACACATTGTGTTGCCCCTTTTACCATATCGACCTTCAATATGCTGAACATAGTTTTCCACAAATACTTCCCTGGACACCTCACCGTCCTCGACGTCGAGTCTGATCAGGATGTCCATGCTAGGGCCGACTATGATTAGGACTTCATCAATGTCACTGTGTTCACCCTTCTCATCGATCAGAATAGCCATTGCTTTCCCTCGGCTCGAAGCTAACCTGCATGAATAAGACCATTGCTCATCTTTCCTTATCTGATCAGTGGGCTTGCCAACTTTACCATGACCTTTGGGGATGGTTTGGGATTTCCGGCTGCACTTCACGAAGTCCTTCTTCACGTAAGTTTGAACTTGAGTTTTAGACTCATCAAATCTGATCTTCTTCTTGATCACGTTTGATGCAACCTTATGGAACGTCCCTTCATCATCACTCCAATCATGGATAAGTGCAGGAGTAGCCTTTGAGCTTGGTGCTTCAGTGTTTGGAGCAGTGTTGAATAGATGAGGATCGTGGCGTTTGTTGCATTTGTCTCCATACCGACACTTGCCCTTAGCCCAATGCCAGCATGGTTCATCAATCTTCTTGGTCTTGTTTGCCGGAGACTGACTTCTTGGAGTTCCTGGCTTCCGACCGTTGCCTTTTGCATTCTTGTTCGCATCAAATACCTTTTGGTCGTGACTGTATTCACAATCCTTGCCTTTTCTGCATGCTTTCTTGATGAAATGGAAATGGCATGGGATCTTCTTCTTGGATCTGGGGCTGGTACTTCGGCCGTTTGATCGGTCCTTCCCTTTCCCTTGACCTTTTCCTTTTCCTTTTGCATGCTGTTTAGGCTGAGGTGATGGTAGAACTGGAGCTGCATCGGCCTTGGCCTTCGCCTTGGGCGCTGCCTTCTCCTTGGGAGTAGCTTTAGGCTTCGCTTTTGGATTTGCATCCGGTGCAGCAGCAGTTGGGTTCGGAGCAGGAGCTGAAGGTTTGCCGCCGCCTGCAAAGTCTCTCGCATACTTCTCTCTGGCTGCCACATGCTTGTCCTCTCTGATTCTGGAGATGTGCCTTTCGATGACATCCAACAGGTAGCGATAATTTCGTCTTTGGTCTCCTTCCATCCATGACTCGTACTGCTTGATGTCAAACATCATAAGACTCGAATTTCGAATCTTCTTGTATAGAGCGTCACGAAGCCAATCATCAGGAGGTACGTCATCCGGCATCATGTTTGATACCATCTCCATCCATTTCTCGTAGAACACTTCTAGGTTCGAGTCACCGAGATACTTCATCGATACGATGTGCTCCATGGTGAAGGATGTTTCTCGTTGACCTGGGGTTCTGAAGTGCTCCAGAATCAAAGCCAAGATTTCCCGTCCCATGACGTAGGTTCCTCTTCGGCTATGACTTTGTGTTCTCAATCTCAATTTGATCGCTACATGACGAGCAACATCACCGGCTTGGGCTATCACGTTTGACAATGCGATTGACAACTTGGCGTCGATGGACTGATACCGTTGCCCCCCACTGTCATTCAACAGCTCGATGTCAGGATTAGGTCGAATAGCCGGCTGTAGCCATGCCTCCCATGCGGCTTTATCCCCGTCATTTGCCGAAAGGACAACACTCTTGATGAGATCTGATTGCCAAACCCCAAGATTCTGTTGCTTTGGCCATGGACTAACATAGACTTTGTCAGCCTCTCGTCTTGACATTCTTGGTACTTCTTCCGCAGTGTAAGCCGCTGTGGAGACATCATCTGCTGAATCGCGTTGTGATCCTCGAACCGAAGGCAAACCAGGAGGTTCAGGAGGTGGTCCTGGACCATTAGGCCCGAAAGGGTCCGGAGGTCCATCAGGGTCAGGCGGACCGCCCCATCCACTCGGTGGCTTGTAGTATTCCCTCTCAGTTCCGCCAGCGATCTTGTTGTCAACCTCTTTCAGTAGATCAGCGATTCTTTTGCTTGATTGAGAATGCTGTGGTTGTTGAGGAGGTAAAGCATGCCCACGATAGGAATGAGCTACATTTGTCTCATAAGTCAACTCCTTGTCGATCTGCGAGACCCAAGATTTCAGAATAGCGTTTTCACAGTTAGCCTCACTCACGTCATTCTCCAGTTTGTCGATGACCAGTCTGGATGCGAGATCGGAGTTGGGAATGCCTGCCGAATAGGGAAGTGTGTCAGGATTGATCCTAGCCATAGATGTTTCAGAATCCTTGAGACTCTTTCTCAGTTCATCTAAGTGACGTTTCATGTCGACAATCTCAGAATTCTTGATGCCAATCTTTTCATCCCTATCCTGGATTTCCCCCATGAACATGCATGATCTCTCATATTGTTGAACACCACTCGCCAATTTTAATTTTCGCTCACTCTCTAGTTCAGATCTTAGAGTTCGGACCTCAGCATTGGTGAGGGACGACGCCCCTACATCCGCAACTTCAGCCAACCTTTCTTTTAACAACAAGTTCTCTTGTAAGCATTCATGAACTTCATGATCTAGATCTTGAACCCTGATTTGAGCGATCTTAGCTTGATTACGTAGATCTTCAACAAGCATCTCTTCGGGGCCACGACCGTCGGTCGTAGAACCCTGAGTCAATGATCTTCGTAACTTCGTGTTTTGCAACTTGATCTCATCCTTCAATTCGCAGTTCATCTTCTGCTCGTTGGCATAGAGCTCTTCATAGTGCTCTGCCCTTGCGATCAAGTTTGCACTAGCCTGTGATTCAAGCCTCAGGTGAGATATTGCTTCGGCCTCTTGGTTCCTGTATGATGCAATTCTTTTGACGGTATCATGTTCAGTGTTTCGATGCTTCAGATCACTTTCCAATTTGGCCTGATTTGCCTCGAACACCTTCTTCCTAGACTCTCTAGTGATCTCATCAATACTGCTCTCATACAGCTCGGCCTGTTTACGAGATTGAACCAAGGCTTCACTCAATAGCTGATTTCGCTCAGATAATTCATGAACTGCAATTGATTGTTGCTGGCTAATCACTTCAAGTTGATTACTAGAGGAGGATGCCATTTCAGATCGATTACGATATTCCATGATTGAGTTCTGGAAATCATTTTGCATTTCTTGACCTTCATTGTATAGTCGATTGGCAATATCGGTGGTTAAGACATTGGTTTGATGAAGTTGTTGTAGTCTTGCCTCCGTATTACCCAGTAGTCCTTGAAGGTGATGTACTTCATCCTTGTACTCCTCCTGGATCTCCATACCACGTTGATGGATCCGTCGTGCACCATGTTCCATTAGGGCACCTCGGCGTTCAAGGTCTTGGATGCGTATTGTTGCACCTTCATCTTCCTGAGATGCTACCATTAGTTCTGCTTGATATTCTGCAACCTCATTTGCGGAACATGACAATCTATGATTGAGTGCATTGACCTCATCAAATACATTCTGATTGTGTTCCCGAAGATACTCAGTGAACCTGATCTCGATGTCATGAATCAGTTGATCCCTGGATGCAGCGTATGCTTCCATGTTGTTCAGCTGATTACGTAGGGATTGACATTGTGCCCGTAGTTCTTCTATCATGGCAATAGGTTCACTAGCCACAGAAGTATCCGTTGATCTCCTCTTAACACGACTATCCCCGGTCCTCTCACCAATTCGGTCGGTCACGGCCCTGGTGGATCTGTCCCTTGGAGTAGTACGTCCTCGAGATGGTCGATGCCCTTGGCGGACAACATCACTCCGAGCACTGTTTCGAGAAGATCTAGGTGTACTTTGGGTGGATATTCTTCGTCTGTTTGATGTGACTTGCCATCCGGACTGTGTAGTTCGGGTAGAGCGTATCCCGCCACTGTCTGCCGTGTCGCCAGGGGAAGATTGATTGACCTCCTCGACCGGCATAGCAGCGTTCTCATTGAAGGTAAACTGCGTGGTGCGCGAATCTCCGCTGCCGCCTTGCATCTTTGCGATGATGAGCTGATTGGTCCTTTGCGTCCTCAATCAATTGCTCAGACGGCCCGGCTACCAGCACGCAGGTACCACTCTCCCGGCGGGAGAAGTGAGCCCTACGGCTGATAACCTGTGAACAAATTGATCCTTGTTCTGGATTATCCCTTTTGATTGTAGTACCGGTTGTGCTGGTAGTGCAGGGCAACGTCACTGCATGGCGTTCGGAGAACGGTCTTTTTCCTCGCGCATGACTTGAGCCAAGTGATTGGCAGTCCATGCATCACTGACTACATGCTCAGCATGTGAAATGATTGTATTACCTAGTTCCCTTTCGCAATATATATATATATACGTATATAGTATATAACATACTGATCATAGGATATCAGCAAATCCATGATTCTCCGCAACATGGAATGTAAAGTAAATGGTAAATTCCACATAATTATCCCCGTTATAAACCCATCATATCCCCATGATATCGTCCCAGGATCTGCAAATCCTCTGAGATCGCGCCTCCAGGGTGGCCTTGGACGTCTCCAAGATCTGATCCTTGCTGCGATTGGCCTCGAGAGAAAACTCCAATCGCAGCAAGGAATTTTGCTGCTCAGAATATGTTACAGTATGTATGATATGTATAATGTCTACTACTATATTACTATGTATGATTATGTACATAATTTTCTGGCGGTATTTACACATTGGAAAACCAGCTGGTTGCTGGTTCACTCTACCCCCTAAAAAATACCACAGTCATTTGGGGATCGTCAAAACCACTGATCTGCCAGCAATGTTTGGGTATAAGACAAGCCATGTCAAGCCGTGTAGCTCATAAACCCACACCAAGTACTCCAAGCAATCCGTTGGGACAATTCGACTCTGAAAATCATCTCTTGGGGTGTGTCGAATCAATGGCAAACCATGTCTACATAATGCAGCATATTTGCAATAACAATGCATATATATAAATATAAACCATATCTATATATACATATTTATTTAAATACATATAATATATATATACATATATATACATATATATATATATATGTAAACACAAATATATACACAAAATATATATATATATGCATATATCCATATATACATAAAAACAAATATTATACGTATATAAAAATAGACATGTATACATTTATACACATATACATGTATACATATTAGCATAGATACATAAATACATATATATATATATAAATACATATATATATATAATTATACATATATTAATCCATATATTTACATATATATATATATAGACATTATGTGATCCAAGTTTTTTCTTGCAATGTACTATAACATGGCGGCGGGGCAAAATCCCCAGCCTAAACAAGAAAGTCATCTACACTCTACATATTGGACACCATGTTAGATTGCTGGAGGGTTTGTTCAAGATGACTGGGAACACATGAAAGTGAAGCAGTAGGATTTCCGACAGGCAATGACATCAAATCTAGTGATCTGATCATCTGAGGGTAGGCCAGAAATGGTCAGAAATGGTCAGAAATAATCAGAAATGCGAAATAGGATAACCAGAAATAATCAGAAATTTGCATATATATACATATATATGATATAGTTATCCAAACTATCCAAAAGTTCACCACAATCCAATGGTCTGATCCCAGACATTCTTTCTGGTCCGTCTCTGGGAGCTCCCGGCTGCTGTCTCTGCATCAAGTTTATCCTCCCGCCGAAGCACAAAGCTGGTCATCAATCATCAAGTTGACCTGATCCTTGCCAAAAGTGAGTTTTATCTTTTCCTCAATTCTACGAGTATTTGTTGAAATTGGATGATCAAAGGTTCTGTCCTTCTTATAATTAGATCCCAAGCTGTTTGGGTATCATCTTCCTCACAACACATGAGCAGTGTTTTTTCTAAATCATTGAAACTTATTCCACCTTTGCTCGGATAATCCTGGTGACTAGTGCAAGAAGTGGGCTCGAAAATTGTCTCGTTTATCACTCAAACCAATATTTCGGGTGTTATCATGTTTTATGCATACTGCTTCTTGATGTGTCTTGATTGTTGCAAAATGACATTTGCCCTATGTTCCATCTATGGCATAGGATTTCTTGACACATTCCCAAACAAATGACCTAAATGCAAGTAACTCATACCACACCCAAAGCATATGGCATACCTGGGTCATTGACCGAATGTCGTCAAAATTGTATGCCCAACACGAGTCGTCCTTCAGTTCGCAGGCTCGGCCGCGTTCCTGGAGGAATTCACTGAGCGTTTCTGCGGATTTTCCATGGACTTTAATGGATGATTTAAATCCGCAGATTTAGTGAAAACCCCCCAGGATTTATGATGAAAACTTAATCCCAATGATTATAATGGATAATCCCCCACATCAAATTTAGTGGATGGTTACAATGAAAATCCATGAAAATTCATGGATCTATGATTTTATGGATAATCATCCATGATTGAATGAAATTTAGTGGATGATTATAACAGATGAATTTGGCGAAACGGACATAGATGTGACATTAACCCATGGTTTCTGTAAGATATATCTATATTGTGACCATGTGCATATAAATCACAACAAACCAATATAAACCACAAAGGGTGCTTTCGAACATGTATTGCTAGATAGATCAAATGTGATAGAACTAAATAGTTGTATCGGAATGTGGAGGTCTCCTAAAATAGGGGTATCACCAAATCATCCAAAAGTTCACTGTTTTAGCATTGAAACCTATGGTGACTTGAGGATCTAACATTTTATGGGTCAAAATTGTATTGGATGGTCCATACTGTACTAAAAACATACTTAACTCATCTTAACTCTGGGGTTTGACAGGTCTCTAATCTTGACCCATACCCAAATGGATTAAAGTAACAGGAAGGAAGGTTAACTTGAGGATTTCAGATATTCAAGTCAAGCAACAGAAAGGAAGACTTAACAACTATCTTTTGACTTGTGACCAAGAAAAATGCTGCTTTGACTAGTTTAACCTACCACTATTGTGAGGGGATTTACATGTGAGCCGGTCAAAATCAATTGTTTACGCCTGGTACAAAAATATGGGTTATCGCCTATATTTTTTTGGGGGGCCTATCGCTTTACAGTGTTTTGTTCAAATCAACACTAAATCATGCAAGAATGCAGCGGAATAGGACAAATCAAACAAAAAGGAAATAACCTTAAATATAAATGTAATTCAGAATTGGCTTCAACATCAATTTTGATTTACTTCAGAATTTGATTGCATTTAGTTTCAAAAGGAAGACAAAAGAAAAAAGGAAGGAAAGAAAAAGAAAAGGAAACAAAGGAAAACAAAATTCGAATTAAATTGAAGCACATAAAACGGAATTCAGAATTAGATTGAAGACATTTTTTATTTGATTCAGAATTCGGTTGCATTTAATTGAATTCAATTCCAGTGCTTTGGGACCTGGGAGAACAAAATAAACTGCCTGCAGAAAGCAACGGTTCGATTGCCTTGGATAACAAATGATATGGCAACTGCACAAAACGTGGGCACTGCAGGTTGAATTTTCTTCATCAGTTTTGCCCATCGCGTGAAGGCACACAGCAAAATTTGCTGGGTTTACACCAAGTTTAATGCACTCTCATATGGTTACAAGTTATCTTTTTTTGAGGGGCCCTATCGCTTTGCATGGTTTGGTGCAGTTTCTCAACACAGCTGGACCCTCCGTTACTAAAGTAGTCTACGATTATTTTGACCGTATCTCATGTATTGACCTACTAGCAACACATAAATCCAATCTGGCAATGAAAAAGAGCAAAATCATCTTTAAATGGGGCGATGGTTCCATGCTTCTTAGTAACATCCTAGAAATTTGACGTTGAACCCCAACATGGACAACAATTAAAGGAATTATTCAACATCGTCATCTCCAAGTATAGCGCAATGTCTTCCCAACCTTTTTTCTGTTGGCTGCCATGGTTCAAACACGTTGAAACCCCTCAATCTTTATCAAAAAGTCAGAATAGAATAGAATAGATAAAGGCCTGCCCTGGGTGTGCTCGCCTGCCCCATTCAGGGGAATATTTAAAATTTGGTGTTGAAACATCAATCTATTTCCATCAGCTGTCACGTGCTATCACGAGTCTTGTCCGTGCTATATGAGCTATAGGTGCGGCCCCATGAGCTAGGCCCACCCAGCCGGAACCAATGCTAGATTTCGATTTTGTATTGACTAGATCAGGTTGTATCATATCAAATCAGACCAGTAGGTCCATATGAATTAGATATATAGCTGGATAAACGAATAGAAAATACCAATCTTCCCGCAGCCATTTGGGGTGAACAAAGTCACATCAGAAAAGGCCTCATCGAGCTGCTTCCTCCAATCTCTCCGTTCCTGATCCTGCCTGGACAGCTGGGAGGGTCGTGAAATCACAACATGTAAATCATCTGTACAAATCACATCGTAATTGACATGGAATCACATGTAAGTGAAGGGCATAAAAACATGATCATTAAATAAAATGACATGAGAAAACAGCAAACAAATACAAGCGTTCGGCGGCTGAATCCACTCATGACGACTCTCATGGTCAGCAGTTTTTCATGACCAAGTCACGCACACGAGGTCGGTTCATGCCGTTCCATCATGTCCGCAACAGAGAGGAAACCCATTGGTTTTGAGTTTTGAGTTCACAAATTTTGGACATGCTGAAGCTTGGTAAGACATCATACACAGGTCTATAAGGTCTTGTTGGTTAAACAAGTAACATCCTTATCTCACCATATCTCCCAATTAGCTCTTTCTGTCGCATCGGCTCCAAGATCCCAGATCTCGCAGCCGCGACCTTGAGCTCATGTTCAACACTTCATCTTTCAAGTTTTTGCACTGAGATTCCTGAGACCAGGCACAGCAGGGATCGACTGGCCCACCAGGTTCCGTTGATCCTGATGCAAATCTTCAAAAGGTTCAAGAGTTGAACCCCACTTGGATAGATATGATTTGTCGTATCTTATATCATTTAAAAGCGTGTTTCTGCTTTGGGGCAACCAAATCCACCGTTCTTTTCCCAAAAAATGGTTTGTGATTTCCCGCCATCAGCTCCAGCCGGCGCCAAGGTGCGTAGCTGCTAAGCTTTTGGGAGTATTCTTGCACCAGCCGTGCCTGGCTAAAGTTAGCCTTTGGTAGTGGGAAATCCCTGAACTACTATGGAGGTGGAGGTTTATAGCTGGGAAAATCATCGAACTATTGCTGATGGATTTTCCAGCAAACCATGTGATGATTGCCGGAGGGTAGCTGGGGCCAGAGAGATTTCCCAAATGGTGGAATGACCCATGGAAAAAATATTTGAACAATCACCTGCAGCAAATGCAACTATAGTTTTCGGAAGGAATGCGAATTGGCGGTCTTAAATTGCCAAACCCATTCTCAACAATACGTATGTTTATTCATTTCTATTCCTCTTTGGTTTGGGAAGTCTCGGCCCACTATTGTTGGTTGTACTCTTCATTGCATTGCGCAAAAGAAATGGAACATAATCTAAATATATCTAAATAACTGATGAAAGACCGACGGTTGCTGACATGCACAAGATATGTACAAGTACCCTCCGGTAATCAAACATTGCAATGGAACATCCCCCACTGTACATAGATTTCATAAATTGAACGTGTTCATCAACACGTTTATTCCACATTTTGGATATGTATGGACATGTTGGCTTTGCGCCCAAACATCCGTCAGATTTCAGACCCTCGTACGAACTGGGACCCTTTTTCGATGGTAAACGGTTCAATGATGTTCAATTTTTAGAGATTGTTGTGTTTCAAAATTGGGTATTGTGGTCTATCTGACCATCATATATGGTTTGGAATGTCAGAATTTTTCCATTTTCGAACGGCCATTGATAGAGGAAAAAAAATGTACCCTCCGGTAATAACATGGTTTGCAAACTTGCCCATTTATAGAATTCTATACTGTACATGATTTCCCCGTATTTCCTTATTAAATCCTCCATTTGGTTCGTGGATTTCGCAGCTAGCCATGTTGGATTACCCTCCGGGTGAATTCTTCAACGCTCATCGTTCACCTCATTCTCTTGAAGCTGCTTCTCCGCGCGCAGGCTCTCCTGAAATTCAACACGGCGGGATTTGGCTGGCAAAGGTTAGGCCTTTAGAAAATGCGTAATGAAAAACCGATAGCCTCGGGGGATTTGACATGGTTATGGAAAATGGACCTTAAAACTATATTATTATGAGTATTGATCAATGCAAAAATATGCAAAAATGGATATATAAGTATGATGTTCCCATCATTAAATTAGTTTGGAACCATGAATTAATTGAAGAGTGGAATCTAATCGTCTGGATGATTTTTTCTCAGTTCAACAACCTGATAAGTTCAGCTTGTCCGTTGAAAATTTGGCAAAAAGTGTCCCTATGAATTGTGGGGGGAGGTTATAGTCACCATCACCCCCTCCCTCCGACCACAAGAGCCTACCAGCCCCACCACCACACCCCCCGAACGACCTCCGCCGCTTACCTCAGTATGGCCTCCACCACCCCCCCTCCCTCCATACCTGTCCCCCCTTCCACACCTGAGGGCTGTCTCCTCCAACAAGCGGAAGGCCCCTGTTCCCCTTCCATACCTGATGGATCCTGAAGGCCTTCCGGTCCCTCCAACAAGCTGAAGGGACGAGGCCTAGCTCCTCTCACGTGAGCACTGGGTCTAAGGGTTGCCCATCGTCTAGAAGAGCGACAGCACATGGTGGATGGTGCAAAATACAGGATAACACTCTTCGTGCTTTGCGAACAAAGGTCATGCAGCAATTCACTTACGACGACATTTTGCAGATCACTTGCGGCGAAAAGTCTTGTGAAGCTCTCCAAATTACGTGTTAATTGCGTGCATGGAGGTACATCGACGAGAGAAACGCCAATCTTGCAATCCGGTGGGGTGGGTTTCGGGTTTAGCAAGGTTTCTAATCATGCGGCAACCTGACAATGCCAATGGTTCTACCTGGGATGGGTTGGGGTAGTTGGGGCGGGGGGGGGGGTTGAGGGGGTAGTACTGTTTCTAATCATCTGCCAAACTACTTTTGAAGGTTTTGGGGTGGGTGAGGTGGGTGGAAGAGGGTTTTGGCTTGATAGTTGGGGCTCTAATCCCCTGGCAGACCCCTTAGCGCAGAGAGTTCTACCTTTTGAGGTTATGGGGTGGGGATTTAGGGTTTAGTAAAGCTTCTTATCATCTGGCAAACTTGACAGTGCCATTGGTTCATTCAGTATGTTGTGCATGGTTTCTCTGATTCATTGGCATCTCAAACACCATTTGCACATTCGTTGAACTTGAAGCACCTCACAACTTCAACACTTCAGTGCTTGTGCGTAAACTCTCCTTTGTCCTTTGTCCATGAAATATAACCTGTTAGACCGACCTCCGACCTCCACACTGCCGTGCCTGCCAAAATGGCTTTACGCAGAAGATACACGACGTCACAGGCGACGAGGAAATCGACGTCACCAGCGAAGCGATTTGCGACGTCACAAGCAAACGCGTCAGCGCGAACGCCGCCACCAAACTCAACTAGACGACGGATGGCCCGAGAGCGTAGAGGAGCATAGTGAGAGGTGTAAGTATGAAGATCTTATAGCATGAAACATAAGTATAGAAATATACGATGATACCTAAAATGAAGCGACATGGTGCAGACATGTTGTGAAAAGTAGGTACATATGAAGAAATTCAAGGAGGAATAAAGGAAAGATGATACGAAGGAGACACACGAAGAAGACTTGAGACGGACATTTTTACATACAAGCATGCTCATACATACAAACATGCCTTACACACAAATGTGCTCTTACACAAAGGCTGTATCACACACATACGCTTTCACATACAGACGTAATACTCAAACACTTTTACGCACACACACAGATGCTTTTACAAACAATTTCGCACACAATCCCTTTTACACGCCGATGCTTTTACACACAGACTGACACTTTTGCACACACTACGCTTTCACACGCAAACGCTTTAACGCACATACCCTTTTACGCACCGCACAAGCACTTTCACACAAACACTTTTACACAGAGACCCTTTTACATACACACACACGCACCCCATTCACACACAAACACGTTTACTTAGCAATGCTTCCTAAGGAATGCCACTTCGAACCTTTGTTTGACTTGGTAATGCTACTTCAACCCTTAAAAAAAAAAAAACATTGCGGATTCTGCATGCGGAGAAGCAATCAGCGTTTTTTTGGCTACTGGACAATGCTACTTGAAAATGCTACTGACCAAGCCTACTTAGAAATGCAAGTTACCAATGCTACGTGGGAATGCTTCTTAGAAATGCTACTGCTGCTCCTGAGACATGCTACTGAGAAATGCTCCTCATCTTCATCTTCTTTATCATCATCATCTTCTTCATCACCATCATCATCAACATCATCATCATCCTCATCCTCATTCTCATCATCCTCATCCACATCATCATCCTAATCATCGTCATCGCCATCACCATCATTATTGTCATCACCATCGTCATCGTCATCGTCATCATCATCATCATCATCATCATCCTCATCCTCATCCTCGTCCTCATCATCCTCATCCACATCATCATCCTCATCATCGTCATCGCCATCATCATCGTTATTGCCATCATCATCATCATCATCATCATCATCATCATCATCATCATCATCATCATCATCATCATCATCATCATCATCATCCTCATCCTCATCATCATCATCATCATCATCGTTATTGTCGTCATCATCGTCATCATCATCATCATCATCATCCTCATCATCATCATCATCATCATCGTTATTGTCGTCATCATCGTCATCGTCATCATCATCATCATCATCATCATCATCGTTATTGTCGTCATCATCATCATCATCATCATGATCACCACCATCTTTGCCATCATAACCATGTTTGTCACGTTACTCACCTGTCAAACATACCACAACCGTCACTTCCAGCAAGGACGGGAGTCTGTTGTAAACATCCCAAAGATTATCCCTGCAGCCAAGAAAACACAAACGCGTTTACACAGAAACTCTTCTACACACAAAGACGTTTACACACAAACACGTTTACACGCATACGCTTTTACACACATACTCTTTTACACACAACCCTTTTACACACAAACACTTTTACCCACAAACACTTTTACACACAAACAGCTTTTACACACAGGCCCTTTCGCACACAACCACTTCTTCTACTTCTCATGTTTTTTTAAGGCTACAATGTCAGGCCCAAATACAACTCAGTACGCTGCGCTCAGAAAGCAGCTTTCCTTCCGTGATTACTGCTCAGTCCATACTGCAGCATATATAATATCCCGTACCAGTCAGATAAGCAAAGATCAAAACTTCACTTGCATATTGAAATTTTCAAAAGGGACATATTTTATATGTTTAATATCTTAATATTGATCTTAAAAATAATATCATATAAACTTAAACATACTAAACTATTGTGTATATATATATTATATTAACTTTTAATTCTCCCGCGATCCTAGGTTTTCACTTTTGGACTTTGAGCCGGATCTGGACTACTTAATTAAAATTGAATATTTTACCAGGGAAAGTGCGTACGACACATTTTACATATGTTTCCCTCATACACAACCCCCCTTCCATACCTGAAGGCCTACCTGTCCCACCACACGCCACCACCCTTCCATACCTGAAGGCCTACCCCACCACCCACCCCTTCCATACCTGTCCCAACAGGGGGGAGGGTTGTGTTAACCCAACCCCTTGGGTGGTTGACGACCCCCCTAAAAGCTGTAGGGAGAACTATCCGTTTTGGGAAGATTCACCTTCACAGCAAAATAGCCAGTACTTACTGTAAGCTGTAGAAGAAAACTCATCTGATACCAATCTGATTAGCAATTATTCCCCCTCTTTACAACATTCCCAGATGCTCCATGTATTGTATGGAAGACTTGCCAACATTTACCCAAACAAAACAAACGAACAATGTGGCTATATTTACCATAATATACATTAAACGCAGCGTATGGTATTACCCTTCGGGCAAAATAAAACGTGACGGCTGGGAAAATCTCCGATTTATACCCTCTGGTAATAAACATCGATATCAAGGATTTATAATCTCAATATAGTTATGTTAGTTTACCGAAGATTTTACCCAGCTATAAACATCCATTTCATCCGTTGAGTTCGTGGATTTCCCACGCCTCATGGCGCAATTCTTGGAGCTGTTGATTCTCGCGCCGTGTGGCTTGCTCATCACTAACCTGGGCAAAAACTGGGCTGAAAAAAACTGGCCAGAGAAGCCCAGCAAAATGGAGAACTCTATGATTATGATTTGTCACTGTTTCAGATTTGTCTTAATAGGATCTGTTCTTTTCTATCTTTTTGGGGGGTTCTGATAAGAAGAACATGCGACTTAGAACCTTGGAAAATGTTTCGTAGAGTACGGTCAGCACACAGTTGGAAACGGAATGACGTCTGCCCCGGTTGAGGGACTTACTGACCAAGCAGTTCAGGGGTTTGAAGCTGCGGTGCTAGTTCATCGGTCAAACCCTTCTTGATTGGTGGTTCCATCCATGTTTTGGCTGCAAAAATATGAAAGCCAGGAACATAATCGCAGGTGGAGATGGACTTTTAACTGAAACCTGTTTACACTAATTCGGTTCCTAGCCAATCCGAAAAGCACCTTCCGATCCAACTCCTGCTTCCACACCAGCTGTTCTTGTTGACTTTGCAGTTCCCTCGCCTACGCGTCAAGGGCTGCAAAACAAAACAGAATATATATATATACATGTATGAACACTGGCAAAATATTTCATACCCTATTATGCGCATTTCTGAACTTGGCGACAAAACACACATGCCCTTACATGATCTTACATGATCTTACATGAATATATATGATGTCAAAATCCCCCCCCGGCAAAATCAAACGGTTCAACATGTTTCATATGGTTTAATGTGTTTGAATTCCTCACATAGCAAATATTGTGGGGCCATTCCGTTGGTGCTTAACTGACCCATACAGAAAAACCCGTGCCACCTGGAGCTGCTCGCGCAAGCCCCGCATGCGGGTTTCCTGATCTTCCAACCTATCTGCCGTTCCCCATGGAGGCTCGTTTGCCACGTATCATTTTTTTGGAGAGTTGTAAGTACCCTCTGGTTATGACTAACATAGCTATTGAAAATCACCATTTTTAATGGGAAAATCCACTATTAATGGTCATTTTCAATAGCTATGTTAAATTACCAGAGGGTAAATGTAATGCGTCTACCACAAAAATATCCAAGAATTACTCTAGGTCTTATGCTTCTGCCGATTTCCATTGCACAAATTCCAGAATGTGGCTGGTTTCAACCCCATGGGAAAAATGTGAAAGCTGTTCATGCGTGAGGATCGCCATCATCCCATTTTTGGCGTGGCTGCAACATATGCAAAAAAATTGAAGCCACCAGGCAGCCTGAAAGAACCGGGGCTAAGCTGATGCCTAGCGAATTTCACCAGGAAAAAATTGGAAACTCCACGCCAGAACGGTTTTTTCCATGTTTTTCCTGGGTTGTTCCTGTATGTCCCTATCAAAAAAAAAAAGTTCCCAAATTTTGGACATACCACATACCCATGGGCCACTGGGTTCAGGTGCTGTTGTTCCAACCGTGAGACCTGGTGCGGACGGCACTGCGTCTAGTCAGTTGGCTCTATTCAATAATCAGGGCTGGAAACCGAGAAGGAACTTAACAGCCAAAAACAGTCCGTGCATTGTGGATAAACCAATTCAGGAAAGTAAAAAAAAAGTTGGTGACATGTAATCAACATAATGACAGTTGAATTCTTGTTTTTTTCCAAACAAAAAATCAAGCAACGCAACATATTTTTGTCTAGGATATACTATAAACATGGTCTCCACAAACAAGTTTCTTTTCTGGTTGGTGTAAGCAAACTATTGAGACTTTATCGGTGGGGCACAAGCAGCATATTCCAACATAGTCGGTTTTTTATATCTCTGTCGTTTCCTCCCATGGACTTGATGGTATCATCTCATCATGTCTTCATCCTTGCCCATGCTCAAAATCATCACTAAAACTATCATCATTTCATGGCCATGTTCAAAACTATCAGCGCATGCCTGTCCCCTATCGTGAAAAGACCAAAATCGATTCGACATAATCGCCTCTATAGTGGATGAACATGGATGTGTCTTACCAGAGGTAGTCTGCAAGTGGCTATGTTCAGTGGTGTGGCTGGGTTTAAACAAATAACTGCAAAAATTGCCGTAATTAAATTACTATTTAAAAGTAGTAAAATAATGAAGAATACATTTCAATACATTTCAGTAATTTTGGACAATACCAAAATCCCCCCAAACTCCGCGCCTCCACTTGCAGGTCCTCTGCCTTGCGTCGTTCAGCCTGGCAGGGTCATTCTGGACATTACATAATATGAACTATTGCTTTAATGGTCAACTAGGGATTCGGGCGTTCTTCTGTGTTGATTATGGGATTTACATGGATTTACCCTCTGGTAATCAAATTTGGCTAGTTGGAAAAACCCCTGCAAAAGGAAGTTTATAGCTGGGAAATCATCTATAAATAATTATAAATAGTGGATTTTCATCACCAGATGGTGTTTTTATGTATGTCAAAGGTATCCACTCTTTTTGGAGGGTGTAAAAAATTGAGCCATTGCGATTCTGGCTTTGAAAATGGAAACATCACAAACATGAATGGGCACATGAACTACGAGTGGCTAGTTCAGTAACACTAATCATTGGTAAACAAGACCATAATAGTAAATCGGACATCTCAATCGTTTGTAATTATATAGCAACCCCCAAATAAATAGAAAACATGGAAACCTGGAAATAAGAAGTAAATATCATCTACATTCATATAACACCCTTTTGTAACACCTTTCGGCAATTTTTCCGGGGTTACTCAGTCACTCACAAGATTATTTTTGCAGGTAAACTTTACAAACCTTCAACCTGCACAACCCAAAAAAAAGGTGATGGATGCGAGAGACTGGATACCACTGGTATTTGGCGGTCACAAACCGGAGTCGCATTGTGGATAGTTGCTGTTTAAGACATTTATGGGGACGATAAATCATGGACCAAAAGAAATGCAGACTAAATGTGAACTCAATTGATGTACGTACAATGAGTAAACATGATGGCACACATTCATATACATTCCACCACATAGTCCATCAATAGCGTGGTGAGTGTGTTTTTTTTCTCGACGTCTCTCTTCAACAAAGACTTGGAACAAAAAGTACACAATGCACAAAAAAGTGAAATCAAGCGATTTGGGGATGATTGCCCGAGTCCCAGTGACATCACGATGTGATGTCATTATAATTCCTCCAGAATTATGGTTCCTATAAAATTCGAACCATATAAATGGGTATAACCAGGGTTATAACCACCTCTGTCCAATTTTCTATCCTCCTCAGTCAAAGGAGGGCCCATGTCGATTTTGCGTGAGTAGTAAAAGTACGATCAACTCCCACATTTGCCCCGCTTCTGGAAGAGTTCGACGGTAGCATTGTCATCATCATTATCATCATCAACATCATCAGCATCATCGGCATTACCATCACCATCATCATCATCCCTCATCATCATCATCAACAACAACAACAGCAACATCACTGGTATGATCATCGTCTTCTTCTAACAGAATCCTTGAAATTTGGTTCAAAATGCACAGTTCCAGCAGTTTTGGTTGCACTAACAGTTCAAACAGAATGCTAATAAACCGTTACAATGAGGGATGCCTTAAGGGGATGCCCCCGTCAACATACCTCAGAATAATTATAATATTATTCCGGCACCCGTTGAGTTCAAAAAAATAAATTATTCTAAGAACTCATGAGTTCATATGGAAAAATGGAATAATTTCCATCAAAATGATACCGGTATAGTCTATTTCTAGCCAAACGCAAGTGATCGTAAGCAGCTGCGCGCAAACGGCCGAGAACGGTTTCCCTTCTTGCAGAGCTGGGGCACAAATTTAAACAATTTTCAACATACTCAGATAGGATCAAGAAGAGTCACAATAGTATCTTTAAACAAATTTCCTCTCAGCAACCCACTGGCTGAACATGGTTTTAGTTTGTTTTGGGTGTTTGAAACTGGGCTAGTTTGGTGGTTCTGGCCTTAGTGGGAATGAGTGGGAAAAGCAAAATATTTGGTTGTCACTGGTTAATTTTTTTGCAAATTTCTGGATTTGTTTTGTGATTGTAGCAGCTGCCCCCTTTTGTTTTTCAGGGGTGCCAGGCATCTCCAATACCTCCAGAATAATTTCTCCCCTGGGGAAAGCCCGGAGAAAAAAAAACAACTTGGCTCTCTTCTAGAGGTTTTCCCAACTTTGCGTCCGCGCCCCTATTTCTTCCATATTCCCTTCATTTCCTTCCAAAAAACTCCCGTTGGCCATAGTGGGAATGGGTGGGAAATGTGTGGGGTTTCATTTGTTTTTTTGGCAATTCTTGCCAATTTCTGGGCTAATTTTGTGATTAGCTGTCCGCTTTCGTTTTTGAGGGGTACCAGGCATCTCCAATACCCCTAGAATAATTTCCCCCCTGGGGAAAGCCCACACAATGGCACTCAACCTGGCCTTTTCCTAGGTATTTTCCTAACATTCCCCATTCATTGCCACCCAAAGAGCTCTCGAGAGAAAGTACCGTGAGAGAAAGGTGGTCCGGTCGACACTAGTTGTGCGTGCAAGTATGCTGCAAAAAAAGGTTGGCAGCAATTGCCCAAACTGCATGATGCCTTAAATAACTGCAATTGGCATTTCCAGCAAAAAGTTTTCAGGCAAACACCGCCAAGCTAGGAATGGCTTTTGGAAAGGCCAGGCCAAACCTAGGAAGTATAGGCTGCTTCAAGATGTTTTAAGTTACCAAAAATTATTCCAAAACCTAATTATTCCGGGGTATCTTGACGGGCTGGATCATGATTTTCAAATGCCAACATGCATAATCGTATACCTACCCCCCTCAAAAATTATTCCTTGAAAATTATTCCAAAAGAAATTATTCCATAACCTAGTTGATAGCCTGGAATAATTTCTTAAGGCATGGGTCATCCGTTACAAAATGCACAGTTCCAGCAATCTTGTTAGAACGAACAGCTCTAACAGAATCCTAGCAAAATTGCTGCAAAACCCCATAATTAGATCATCTTGGGCGCAGCATCAAAGTCTTGCGCAAGGTCGGCTGAGCGTTATCATCGCCCCATCCCACCCCACCCCACTGATGCAGCCTCAAAGTCTTTGTGCAAAGTCGGGTGAACGTTCGCACCCCCCCACCCCACCCCACCCCACCCCACCCCACCCCATGTGAGCGTAGCATCAACATCGTGTGAAGGGTCGAGGGAACGTAGTCGAAGGAACGTTAACATCCCACCCCACCCCACCCCATGCGAGCATAGCAGCAGCATCTTGCGAAAGGTCGAGGGAATGTGGCCGAAGGAACGTTATAACATCCCTACCCCACCCCATGTGATCGTAGCATCAACATCTTACGCAAGGTCGACGGAAGTGGTCGAAGGAACGTTAACATCCCCACCCCACCCCGCCCCACCCCATGTGAGCGTAGCATCAGCATCTTGTGAAGGGTCGAGGGAACGCAGTCGAAGGAACGTTCACATCCACCCCCACCCCACCCCATGTGAGCGTAGTATCAACATCTTGTGCAAGGTCGAGGGAACGTGGCCGAAGGAACATTAACATTCCCACCCCACCCCACCCCATGTGAGCGTAGCATCAACATCTTGTGCATGGTCGTGGGAACATGGCCAAGGGAACATTGACATCCCCACCCCACTCCATTCCACCCCACCCCATCCTACCCCATGTAAACTGTGGGGCAAATGGTGGGCGGTGCGTCTAAAAGTAGTACCGTCCAACCCGGACGTACGTTGCTCCACACTTACAATCATCATCATCATCATCACCACCATCATCATCATCAACATCACCATCATCATCATCATCATCACCATCATCATGATCTCACCACCATCATCATCATAATGATGATGATGATCATCATCACCTGTGGAATGGGGTAGCAGCATCAACTTATAGGTCTTATATTCAAAAGGGATCAAAAATTTGCCGCCTCTATGACAAATATGTTGAATGGTGTAATCACATCAACTTATTTTCAAAAAGGATCACAAATCCACCAACGCCTCTGCCAAATATGTTGAATGGAATTGAATGGTGTAATCACATCAACTTATCTTCAAAAAGGATCAAACATCCACCACCCCGTCTGAATAACATTTTGCATGGGGTAATCACATCAACTCATCTTCAAAAGGGATCAACAAATCCACCACCCCCTTTGACAAATTTGTTAAATGGGGTAGTCACACCCACTTATTTTCATAAGAGATCAACATCCGCCACCCCCTCTGACAAATGTGTTGAATAAGGAATAGCACCAACTTCTCTTCATAACGGGTCAACAAATCCACCACCACCTCTGACAAATATGCTGAACTTGATATTAGCATCAACATATCTTCATAAGGGATCAAAAATTCCGCCACCCCCATGGCAAAGATGTTGAATCTGATAATAGCATAATTTTATCTTCATAAGGGGTGATGATGATGATGACGATGATGATGATGATGATGATCATCATCATCATCATTGATCACATATACATCTACATATCGAAAGTCCACCGACATGGCATTTCAAAAATACGCAGCCCTTCCACAATTCCGCCACGGAGCAGCGTCAGGGTTGCAGCGAAGTACTAAAAGTAGTAAAAGTAGTGTAAAAGTAGTGAGGGTAGTAAAAGAAGAAGTAGTAGTAGTAGTAAACGTAGTAAACGTAGTAAACGTAGTAAACGTAGTAAACGTAGTAAACGTAGTAAACGTAGTAAACGTAGTAAACGTAGTAAACGTAGTAAACGTAGTAAACGTAGTAAACGTAGTAAACGTAGTAAACGTAGTAAACGTAGCAAACGTAGCAAACGTAGCAAACGTAGAAAACGTAGCAAACGTAGCAAACGTAGCAAACGTAGCAAACGTAGAAAACGTGCAAACGTAGCAAACGTAGCAAACGTAGCAAACGTAGCAAACGTAGCAAACGTAGCAAACGTAGCAAACGCAGCAAACGTAGTAAACGTAGTAAACGTAGTAAACGTAGTAAACGTAGTAAACGTAGTAAACGTAGTAAAGGTAGGAAACGTAGTAAAGGTAGTAAACGTAGTAAACGTAAACGCAGTAAACGTAGTAAGCGTACTAAGCGTACTAAACGTAGGAAACGTAGTAAGCGTAGTAAACGTAGTAAACGTAGTAAACGTAGTAAACGTAGTCAACGTAGTAAAATTAGTTAAGTAGTAAAAGAAGCAAAAGAAGCAAAAGTAGTAAGAGTAGCAAAAGTAGTACAAGTAGTAGAAATAGCAAAAGTAGCATAAATTGGAAAAGGATAAGATACAGCCCCTCTAACAATGGTCATATGCCCAGTTATATTCTATAAACTTACAAATTTGCTTCAGGAACCCCAAAAACATGTCTAAAACAGTCCCTTTCGAGATTCCCCAAGTAGTGGATTTCCAATTGGAAAAATAGAGTAATATATACATAGATCCCATCAATGCTCCCACCAAATTAAACCGTCATTATTGCAGTTCCATTGTCATTCTTCTGCAAAGCTTATGAACCGATTATCTCGATATTCTGCTAATACGATGAATGGGAACTGGTTCCTTCTATAATGGGGATGTATATTTGTCAAACAGTACAACGGGATAAGAATGTGATTAAATTTTACCCATCATCATGGTTATCCCAATTTAAACAGAATCATTTTCCCGTTGGATAAGGAATATCATTGTATCATTACTGGTTGGTGGTTTCAACCCCTCTGAAAAATATGAGTTCGTCAATGGGAAGGAATATTCCATCCCATATATGAAATGGAAATATATGTGTTCGCCATGTTCCAAAGCACCAAGCAGTATAGATATGTATAGATCATCATATTCCCATTGTTGGTTTATAGCCTATTAACCGCTATTAACCACTATTAACCACTAATTATTAACCATCCATATCCCATGCATTATCTGTCGGATCAAATCCTTCGGGATCATCGGATCGCGTCGGATCGCGCCTCCATGGTGGCCTTGGACCTCTCCAAGATCTGATCCTTGCTGCGACTGGCCTTGGATGAATGGAGGCATGGATGCCATAGCTGTGGCTATGGTATATGCATGTTAAATGCCATAGTTATCTATTTTCTATTATTTTCTACTGCTATGTTACTATGTACAAAGAAAAATAATATACATAATATATAATCTATATATAATTTTAGTGCGGTATTTGCACATGGGGAAGTCAGCTGGTTGAGGTTACTTCAGTCCACCCCTAAGAAGCATACCACAGTTGTGATCATCATCATTCAGTTTTGGGGACGAAATGCAAATCACAAAAGCTTGCCAGCAACATTTGGGTATAGGGCAAGCCGTGTCAAGCCGTGTATCTCATAAACCCACGCTAAGTACTCCAAGCAACCGTCTGGAACAATGAGACTCTGAAATCATCTCTTGGGCATTTTTGGGCCAGGTCGAATAAATGGCAAACCATGTTCACATAATGCAACCTGTTTCCAATAACTATATCATATATATATATATGCTTGTGTCTGATCTGAGATTTTCTAGCATAGCGGCAGGGCAAAATCCCCAGCCTCAACAAGACAACAAAAAAGTCATCTACACTCTACACATCGAAATCTTTCAGACTCCATGTTAGATTGCTAAGGGTATTGTTCAATTTTTTGATAAACACATGGGCAGCAGGAGCTCCGACAGGCAATGACATCAACCCTAGCTATCTGGTGATTTTAGTGCAGGATGTGCAGGTCAGAAATCGTCAGAAATAATTAGAAAAACGAATTTGCTAGTCATTCTGAAACTAAACCATCCAAAAGTTAACAAAGATCCAATGGTCTGATCCCAATCAGACATTCGCTGGTCCGTCTCTGGGAGCTCCCGGCTGTTGTCTCCACATCAAGTTTATCCTCGCGAAGCACAAAGCTGGTCATCATTTATCAAGTTGACCTTATGTTTTCCAAAAAAGTGACCATGTTTTATATCTCTTCTTCAATTCTATTTTTCGAAATTTGACGATCAAAGATTCTGTCCGTCTTATAGATTCCAAGCTGTTTGAGGAGCATCATCCTCCTCACTACAAACATGTTTCCCACCTTCACTGGGATCCCAGTGAAGTGGGCTCGAAGATTGTCCTGTTTACCGTTGAAACCAATATGGTTGTGTCTAAAAATGGTGCACTACGCCAAATACCCGTTTTAACAGTGAAAACAATGATAAGCCAATGGATTTTGGGACACCGCATACCCCATTTTCAGACAACTCAATATTTTCAATGTTGTCATATGTTTATCCGTATTCCTTCTTGATGTGTCTCGATTGTTGCGTAATTCGTTGACATTTACCCGCAGGTTCCATGTATGGTATGGGACTTCTCGACACATTCCCCAACAAATGGCCTGAATGCAAGTAACTCTACCACACCCAAAGCATCCAAATTTTGACTGTGGTTGGTGTTGATTGAAAATCAAGGTCCCCACAAACAGTGATTTCAATTAAATTGACCCATTTTGACCCGATTAACTCCTTCCATTAACCCTCCATTAAACCCCCTCCATCATCAACCCCTCCACGAACCCTCCAATTAGTATTCGTACAAGTACCATTACCGGTGAGTTTTCACCATTAATTATTACCATGGATGACCCTGGAACTATCGATGATATACCGAATCTTGATAGATGTCCACAAATATAAGTATCAATTTAGTAATATATAGTGACTTTGAATTAATGCTGAACAAACAAAGTATAAATAAGTACTATACTATACTATAATATGAACTATCCACATGTCCACATGGCAATATCAATCGACTATAATTAACCATTGTTGGTATTTGTTGGTAATGTAGATCAACTATTGCTAAGTGAGCATTGAGCATTGCCAATAAGTACCGATAATGGTAGTTGATACATATTTGATTAAGATTAGTTGGTTGGAAATAGTTGGTTAAAATAGTTGGTGAATTAGTTGCTTTAATTGTTTCGTTAATATTAGTTGATCAAAACTATTTATTTCATATTAGTTGGTGAATTATCGTTGGTGAACATTAGTTGGTGAACAAAAGTTGATGCGTAATGGTTGATGAATAGAAGCTCATGACTAATAGTTGATGAGTAATAGCTAATTAATAAATAACTGTTCGTTAAAAACCGTTGACGAAACATAGTTTATGAACCATATGTGGCGACTAATTGTTGGTTAATAAGTTTACGAATAATAGTTGATGACTAACAGTTGGTGAACAGTAGTTGCTGACGAATAGATGGTGAAAAATAGTTTTTGAATAATAGTTCGTGAATCACAGTTGCTGAAAAAAGTGGATGAATAATAGTTGATATCAAAAAATGTTGGCGAATACTAGTTGATGAAAAACAGTTGGTGAATAATAGTTGATGAAAATTGGGTTGATGAATAATAGTTGGTGAATAACAGTTGATGAATCGTAGTTGTTGAACAAAAGTTGATTTGTAAGAGTCAATGAACACTAGTGGATAGATAGCAGTTGCTGATGAAAAATAATTGGTTAATAATAGTTGATGAATAATAGTTGATGAAAACATATTGATAACGGTTGATGGAAAATGGTTGATCCACAATCGTTGATGAATAATAGTTGGTGAATAGCAGTTGATCAGTAATGGTTGATGAAAAACAGTTGGCGAATAGTTGGTGAATAATAGTTGATGAATATAGTTAATGAATAATAGTTGCCCAAACAACGCTGATGAATAATAGTTGGTCAATTCTAGTTGAAGAAAAGTAGTTGATGAAAAAATTGGCAAATAACAGTTGATGCAAAATAGTTGATGAATAATAGTTGTTGAATAATAGCTGACGAATAGAAGTTGATCAGTAATAGTTGATGAAAAACAGTGGATGATTAGTAGTTGATGAAAAATACTTGGCGAATAATAGTGGATGAATCATAGTTGATTCGATATTGGTAAAACATAATTCATGTGGTCCCCCCTGCCGGGCTGACCGCCTCCCCTGCGCCGTGCTGTCCTTGAGTTCGACCTCCACGACGCGGGCTCTGCCGCGCTCCTGGAAGACTCATGGATGATGATGATTTAGTGAGTTTCATGGGCTTTGGATGTATGGAAATAAATTCACTGGGGATTTTTGAAACTATAGAAATTTCTATTTCTGCTGGAATCGTAGATTTTTGGAGCTAGCAGCTGCCATTTCGATGGTGCCCACAGCAGTTTGGCTTTTGGGGTTGGTTCAGGTAGAAACTTTGTTGGGGCTGGTGCTATTGAATGTTGGTTTAGTTTAGTAACTGAATGCTGTTATTTAGTTATACTCGGCTTAGTTCTAGGGTTGGTTCAAATAAAATTTTGTCAGGGCTGCTGTAGGGTTTGTTTCTGCATGGTTGAAGGTATTTGGATTGCTTGTTGTTAATTTACAATTTGTTTAGGGTTGGTTTTCGGTTGGTGTAAAGTTTTATTTAGGCTTGGTTGAGGGTTGTATTTTACAGTTGATTTGGGGTTTGGTTTAGCGTTAGTTTTAGCGTTAGCTTAAGGTTTTCTTCGGATTGGTTTAATGTTGGTGTAGAATTTGTTGTACATTTATTGTGGGTTTTGTTTGATACACGTTTAGAGTTTGAAATAAAATCGTTTAAACCTGTTTTTTCGGGATGGTTTAGGGTTGATTCAAGGTTGGGTCAATGTCTTATTGCTGGTTGGTCTCAGATTGGTGCAAGGTTTTATTGAAAATTGGTTTGGAGTTTTATTTGGGGTTGATGTTTGTCGAAAATATATTTATGGTTTTGTAGGTTTGGGTTTGGCCTTCTTTAGGGTTGGTTTAAATTTTAAAGGTTATTTGGCATTGGTGAAATTTCAGGTTTTGTTGAAAGTTGGTTGAACATCTAAGGTTGATTTGGGGTTTGTTTACAGTTTCACCTCTTTGACCCTTCGAACAATAGAGGTTGGTAGTCAAACTCCTAAAGCATAGAACACAACAAAAAAAACTTAAACGAATAATCCACAGCCCATGGTGAAACCCAATGAAAAGCACGGAGGCCAAGGCAAATCATGATTTTTTCTTTTAAAAAAAAAACTCCACGGCAGAAGGCCAAGGCCAATGAAAAGCCAAGTGCCCAAGACTAAGTCCAATAAAAAGTTCAAAGCCCAATGCAGCACGCAATGGAACATTAAGACCAAGGAAAGGCCTCACGAAAAATCCAAGCCAAAGAAACAGCAAATGACAAATTCAAAGCAAAAGACAAGGTACAATGACGGGTAACTTGCTCAAAGCGCAACGAATGGAAAGTCAGTTGGACTTTGCTTTGGCCTTTGATGCGCATTTTTTGGTCCCGGGCCCGGGACTTTGCATTGCGCCCTTGCTACCCGGGCAAATATTGATGTTGACGCTGATGTTGGAACAATTTGAAAAAGACACGCCGCCGATTTAAATATTGAAAAAACAATTTGTGCTTCAGTTCTCGTCCTTGCTTTATTGCGCCGTAAATCGATTCAACTCTTGACCCATCTTTTGGCCAGGTTTTTTTTGCCAAGTTTTTGATCGGACTTTGTCCTGGCATTTGAGCGTCTTTTGAAACTTTGGGCTTTTCGTTTTATTTTCTCTCCTTTTGTATCTTCGAGAAAATGCAAGAGTATCGGCATAACCAATAGCAAAAGTTTTTGGCTTCTTTGGCCTGCCTTCAAGATTGCCCACCTTAGCCATTCTTCTTGACTGAACTTCGCAAAATCAGAAAAGAAATTGCATCTCATTTCAGACAGTGTTCTTCCTGTCAAACGCTGTGAAGGAGCACCCCTGAAAACACAGTTCACAAGGCCACTTGCGAAGAATATTCTGAAACGAAGTATCAATGTCTTCTTTATTGTTTCGCTTTGTAACGAACGACAACTGGACCAAAGTACAACCGAGTCTTTGTGGAACACGTTTCTTGAGGCCCTTACTCCCTTACTCGTCTCTTTTCTTTTGCAAAATTTCATAACCCTTGTCTTGAACTTGGTGTGGTTCTTTTTGGGATCCCTTGCGGGCGAAAAACAAGTTACCAAGAGAAAAGAAAAAAGAACTTCGGGAACAAAACCCTTTGACCCCTTTAACCTCTTTTAACCCTTGCACCCCTTCGACCCCTTGGACCCCCTGGACCGCTTGGACCTCTTGGACCCCTTGGAAGTTTGAAACTTATGTCAGAGGACTGTTCTCTCTTAGTACGTTAAAGTTGAAAGAAACGTAACCGAAAAACACGTTTAATTTGAAACTTTGTTAACGAACAATCCGTCGACATATAACTTCCAATCTCCTGTGTTACTACACTTTTGAAACTAGAACCAACTAACCTAAGCTCTCACTTCTCAAGCATTTCTGGAACCCCTTTGGTAAAACTACCCGCTCTCTACCCACTTGTTTGTGAGTGGAAAAGTTCAACCAATTAAAACTAAAACGTACTAAAACCATGTAGTCACCGTTTTTCGTGGAACACGGACTCAGAAAAAACAAAACTTTTGTCCTTAATCGGTGTTCTAAAGTTGTTGCTCGTTAAACTTACAAGTTAGAACACATGTGAACCATTAACACCTGTCCCCTTCCCGTCCTAAACCCGCGACTCTTCGCACCAGAGCTCTGTTTTTCAAGGGTGGCGGACGCCGAGCGTCGGAAAAAAGCCCCGCTTATGGAGGGGGGGTTGTTCCATCGGCAGCGTGTGTTCCAGTCGACTCAGTAACATCGAGCATTGATAATTTGAATTCCTGAGATTGAGATGAAAGTTTCTACTGCACTTCCACTTGTTTCTGAATTTGATTGAGTTTGGCGCGCCCTGCATCTCGTTGCCCGGCTCGGTGGTGCGCAGTGATATGGCACTGCGGGGCCAGTCGTGACATCACCTTAGCATATATATATATATGTATATGTGTGTGTGTCATGTATGTCACGTATGTGTCCTAAGGTTTGTGCAACGTTGAGCAGTGTATAGCCAGCACCAGTCGTGAAGGCGCACATGCCCGTTTCCATTCGGAATTTTCCTCACTCTCATGCCCTCACAACTCTCAAAATCCCTTACGCCAGGCATCGGTGAACATATACAAAGCTGCCAAGTTGTCGTTGGAGCAGGTCTTTTGTCAGCTCCGCTGGCACGTTCGAAACGTACCAAATTGGCAAAGACATGGCGCAGAGAGTCTAAAGGGTCTTGTGAAACTCCTATCTATACTAGCTCCTTAGCTCCTCATTTAGTAGGGGATTTGGATACCTATAGTTCCTTGGCTCCCTTCCTAGCAGTGGCTAGCTTATCGGTTCATTTTCAATGATGACATTAGTTCCATGGGGTACCCGCGGGAGGATGTGATTTGATTGTGTCTCAGAGCTTCCGTTGTCCAGTCCTTCTCACGAGCATGTCCTCCTTGTTCTGACCGCATCTGGCGCTTGCTGAGCCTGTTGTCGTCCTCTGTGAGCTCGGATGCAGCGGTCCGCTTCTTAGCAGATTTTGAGAGGCCACTTCTGTCTCGGTGCTGCCACGCAGCGACCGGCAAATCACCACCTGCGCTTGGAATATCGACACTGGCAGGTGCTGTGAACGCAGATTCAGTTGCTATTATTTCTCTTGCAGCGGCACCAAGGCGCACGCCTGTGCCACCATGCGCAGCATGGTGCGCACGCTGTGCTACAGCAATTCCTGACAAGGCGACCAGAGTCAGCGGACTCACGCCATAAGCTGCACACAAATTGCCGCGACGAGAGTATCAAAGTACGCTGATAATTTTCAGCTGCAGAGTCGGCGGACTCAAGAAACCAAACTGCTAAAAGCATTGCGCATGAAGACATGCATGTTTTCCAGTTTCTGCCTGTCCTTTCGAAATATCTCCTGAGCCAGAATCAGATGGACCAAAGGAGTCAGCGGACTCCAATTTCTCCAAATGCAAATGCACATATGGATGTTTTTTGTTGGTGAATTTGCAGACATTTGGAGCTGCTTGGGATTTGGTTCCGCAGCGCCGCTGCTTTTGACACACAACGAAACATCAAATCGTTGAAAGCTGGCTGGTCTCCGCTTCGGCTCTGGCCATGTTTCCACCCCCGGTCATGCAAGCTATAAAGTATATTTTGCTTGAACATACCCAAGGAGGATCTATAAACAAAAGATCAAAATGATAGAAATGGAACATAGGTTCGGTGCCGTTCTATTTGAGCAATGCATTTGATCCAACAGCGCAAATCAAGAGAGATACATTAAAGATGTGACAGAATCTCTACAAGCCAAACCGCATCTTGCCGTGAGCGTTTAACATTTGATTTTAAAGCGGCTCTGGCATACGATTGAGGCACCAACCGTCTGGCAATCACAATACAGCCAACTTTGTTTTGGCGACCTTTGGGATTTGCACACCGCTCACTCACGCATCATAGGTCTCGGCGCAGCAGAATGAATAGTGAGTGTGCGAGGCTGAAGTGCTTCTCGACCAGCTTTCTTCTTTCCCTTGATGAATATATGTCATCAAGGCGCGTCGAACAAAAAAATGCTCCCAAGGTCCTAAAAGAGGCGAAGAGGCAATGTGAGGAAACACAGCACTAGAAGGGGGCTTAGCTCAACCAAGTCACGTGTGAATGATAATTCTGAATGTCATCCAAAGCAACGCCCTGGCGCTAAACAGATTCTGGCACACGGGATTGCATCCAAATTGACAAAGCGAATTCTGTTCGAGACTTCACATGATTGAAATTTCTCTGAATGGCTGAGGCCCCCCCAGCGATAAAGTCACATATCAGCCGCGGCGGTGGGCACTGCAGTTATGTTGATTTGACTGTTGTTACTGTTACTGTTGCTGTTACTGTTGCTGTTACTGTCACGGTTACTGTTGGTGTTGTTGTTGTTGTTGCTGTTGCTGTTGCTGTTGCTGTTGTTGTTGTTGTTGTTCCTCCCTTTGCATGTGACCACCAGGGTACCTATGACATGAGCTTCCTATTCAGCCAGCTTCGACCAGCTTTGAAACTGCTGAGCCCACTCCACGGAGATCAAATTCAAAACACTGTCTCTCCCTACCAAACCGACCCTCGATACCAACAGGGTTGATTTAGTGCTGGTTCAATGTTTTATTTAAAGTTTGTTTACGGTTCCGTTTAAGGTTGGTTTCGGCTTTTATTTGTTGCTGGTTTAAGACCACTTTAGGGCTGATTTTCGGTTTACGTATATATATATATTACATATATATATATATACAGAATATACATATTTAGGTATTGTTTAGGCTTTATAGAAGGTTTGCATAAGGGTTATTTGATGTTGGTTTAAGAGTGTATTATTCAGGGTCGGTTCATGTTTTTTATTGAGGGCTGGTTAAGGGTTTCTTTGGGGTTGGTTTGAAATTTAATTGTTGTTTGATTTAACGTTCATCAAAAATTCGATTTTGTTTTAAAATTTGTTTTTTTGGGTTGGTTTGCGATTGGCTAAAGGAATTTACAGGTTAAAGTCAAAGTTGGTTTAGGGTTTACGTAAGGTTGGATTTGGATTACAATTGGTTTAGATCTTTAAATGTATTTAAAGTTGGTTTAGGGTTGGTTTAGGGTTGGTTTAGGGTTTTATTTAAGGTTGGTGCATAGTTTTCCAGAGGATTGTGCAAAGTGGGTATAACCCTGGGAAGAGCGCTTTCTGGCTGGCCTGCCTGCCTGCTGAGTGGGTACAAACTGGTCTGGGAAAAAAACGTAGAAGGAAACAATTTCCCCGCAAAAAAAATAGTTACCTTGACTGGACTGGATCAAGACTGAGATTTAGATTCAGATTTCGAGTAGACTTAGACTTTGATGACTTTGTATTGACTAGATCGGATTTCATCAGAGCAGTAGATCCATAGATCAACTAGATAGCTGGATTCGCTGGATAAACGAATAGAACATACCAATCATCCTGGTGCGGCCATTTGGGGTGAAACCCCAAAAGTTGGCTCTGCCCCATATCCATTTTGGAGTGTCCCAAATACCTGCAAAACAACTCCTCCATCTGAGTGGCTGCCTGAAAATCGGGTGCCCAGTTCCATCAAACGGTTTGAGATAATCGGACTTTGCCTACAAGAACAAAATGACACCATGAATTGGGTCTACCCCATGTTTCAAAATCCTAGGACTAACCCAACTATGGAACTTCTTCATCCTGGCAACCACAAGCTGCAGTTTGTCCACAGGCACAACGTCCTGCTCTAAGACGCGCTCCATGTTTCTGGCTTGGCCTGGCCCAGAAGAATAAGAACAAATGAAAAGCAAAAAGTAGGACAAGTCACATCTCTGTGCTCGCACTAAATTCTAATTCTAGAATAGTTCACTATATTTCACAATGAAAACAGAACACAGGATAACTCAGCACGATCATCAGTGGAATGACAAATCATAAATTCAATTCGTGAGTACTTTCAAGAACTGTGGCAAGGTCTGAAAGGTCCGAAATGGTCCGAAGAATGATTTCTCTGTTGGCAAAATCACAATCCACGAAACAACATAAGGGCTGTGTCTTAAAATGGGCCACCATGTGTTTTTTGCCGGTGAATGTGGAAAATGATGAAAAAAAAACAACATAGAAATTAGGCCCCAATTTGCAGATGCTGGTCCGACCACAAGAGTTTTTGGGGGGTCCAGCTTTGCAGCCTTGTGCTTCAGCAATTTGGCCTGCAGAAATCGCAGCCGTCACGTCGTCACGTCGTCAACACCGCTACAATATTCCGATGGATCCATTCGATGGAGGTCTGAACTAATATCTGCTCTTTTCGTTTCAGTCACTAAAATAAAAACACATGAAAACCAACAAATCACAATAAAAAACATATGAAAACCAACCAAAAACAATAAAACCCACAATAAAAGCCATATAAAAACATAGGTATCTCTGGCTTGTTCATCCCCTCATCGGTCCTTTTCCAGGACCTGCCTTCCAGCTGCCGGCGGATGGGTTCCAGTTCAGCCTCCGCGATGGATCCAATGAGGGAGCGTGTCTCAGAATGAGGTATTATGCGGTATAATTACCCCCAAATACCCTCTGGTAATTTAACATAGCTATTGAAAATGGCCATTTATAGTGAGTTTTCCCATTAAAAATGGTGATTTTCCATAGCTATGTTAGTTTACCAGAGGGTAAGAATTTTGTTGGGTTAGGAGGTGCCCTATGTTTAAAACTGGTAAAGATATGGAAAGATCATGATAAACCATTGGGTTTGAGGGTACCCGTAGCGGCTAGTTTTGGGCAAACCCAGGCAATGAAGCATCAAATCATTCAACCAGTCTATTGGTGTAGGAGTCTCCCAAATAAATAGATAATCGTTTTTTAAGATACAGCATCATCATCATCATCAACATCATCATCATCCTCATCATCATCCTCATCCTCATCCTCATCCTCATCCTCCTCATCCTCCTCATCCTCCTCATCCTCCTCATCCTCATCATCCTCATCATCCTCATCATCATCATCCTCATCATCCTCATCCTCGTCACCGCTTTTGGGCTCCGGAATCAAGAAGAAAATCAAAGAATAGAGATACTAGTAACTGAGATAACTGAGATAACTGAGGTAACACCCATCTTAGATAAACTCCTGAATCGTACCCTCCAACTCACTCAGACCAGGCGAAGTCGGGGTTGGAAGACTGGCAATTCTCAGGGTCTACCGGTTGGGAGATGGTATATCCATGTATATCCGATTATGTCCCACAACATGCCCAGGATTGTTGATTTGATAACCCCAGTTTACCAACCACTTCCCATGTTGATTTGGGATTTTCCCGTTTCAACAACGTTATAGGGATTTACCCTATGATATTCCATACAACCCGTTAGATGTATAGTATCCCGTATGAAGTCCCATTAGATCTCGCCCTGTTCTCTCCATACTTCCAACTATTTTCTCAGATTTTCTCAGTATGTTCTCCTTATTTTCAACCTGTTCTTTCCTTATTTTCTCTGTATGTTCTCCCATGTTCTCCAATGTTTCTCCATATTTTCTCAGTACCTTCTCCCTTATGTTCCTATGGCCTTGTCCGAAAATCAGATAAATCAGGTACGGTCCTTAACTATAGATGTTTGAACATCACTGTACCCATCCCATGACGGATCCATGGTGCTGGTATATATGCATACACATATTGGGGTATATGGATGGGATCCATGATACCATATATAGCAGCACCATGGATCCTATGGGCATTGTCCCATGGACAAAATATCTGGATAAATCTGATCAATCCCCCAAAAAAACAAGCACCTCCCGTAGCTCCTCCTCGAGGCGACGACGCCACCTGTGCTGTCCATATCCCCAAACATGGTGGGTTTATAATGGAAAATCGAGCATGGTACCATTTTAATAGGATTTTAATAGTAATGGAACTTACAGGATTTACCATTCAAGTACCTATTGTAATTAAAATGGGGTATGGTACTTCTGTGGTACTTTAAAATGGCACTTGTGTGGTAATCGTGGATCTCCATATCGATTGGTTAATTCACTGTAGGGTGGATAACATGTATGGGATGTCATATCTTTGTATAAGATATCAATATAATTGCATGTTTATCACTATATGTTTATGGTTCTGGTATGTTATAGCTAAATCACCATTTAGACACTGTCAATAGTTGCAAAACAAATTGAATGTCTTGGATTTGCTTCATGACCCCAAAAATTGAAACATGCCGGGTTGACCATTTACAGTGGACTAATTGTCCCCATCTCAGGATATTCACGGCTCCAAAAGGCCGATCCATGGGAATTTTTCAGGGGGTTGCAGGTGTCCTTTTTTCAAGGACGATAGGTCCGTAATGATCTTGAGGGCAGATTCAATAATCTGGGTGGTAGTGCTGTTGAGCTGCAGACATCCAGAGGTGGTCATTTCAGCTCTCTCTGAGAACTCCTGTGAACTCCAAGACCCCACCCCCGATGCACCTAGTGATTTCCTGCGGGGACAAGGCGTGATGCTGCAACTCCTGGCCCGGAGAAGCTATGGACCCATGGAATGGGAAAACATCATTGGAGTAGGGTGGTGAACCCGTTAAAGACCGGAGATCGATCCTCTATTTGTGTTTGGGCAATCCTCCTAATATTAAATTCGCCCCAATGACACCCTGATATACCCTCATTTTGTGCTGGAACTATATATTCATTTGGGGGTCCTTTTGGGTGGTCTCTCACGGTATTTGATATCAGGGGGATGGAATTACTTGTATTTGTTCCACTTCCGGAAAGTGAACGTGAGCCACTGTCAAAAGGTAAGACCAAACGGAAACGCCCAAGATAACCCAAACCCAAACTGAACAGAAAACGTGCTAATATGCTGATACGGTGCATCATACATAATGACTGTTGTGTGAAAGTAAGGCAATTATTGCACTCGCCCTTGATGGTCTGTTATCATTGTGCCTATGAAAATGGCCATACTTAGGGTAATTACCAGTATACCGAAGTTCAAACACACCCATGTATCAAAACATATCAAAACATATCAACACCATCTCACCTTTTTGGTGTCTACCCCACCTCGCACTCTCTGCACTTGGCCCGGAGCTGCTCCCTTGGCATTGCCAGGGCAGGTTGGACAAGGTCTTTCACCAAGACGCGGCACCATCTGGGATCATCGTGCCATTTTCGGAAATGGAAAATCTAAACATAAACAACATATAGCAGTGTGTCAAAACCTGGTACCCCTGTAGTTCACATCAAAATAGCTGGGATTTATGGATGTTCATCCCACTAAAAATGGTATTAATAGGTATTGATCCATACCCATATTCTGGATCCAAGTACCGGGGAGTAGCTGGCGTGTATGAATTCAAGGGTAAGTGAGTTCTTACGAAGTGTTTGGATCCATCGGGATTAACTGATGAAACTGCCCTGGAATCCACGGTACCCTGGTGTTCACTCCAGCTGGTATAGCTGCATGATAATGCCCCACATCGTCAGTCCCACCATGTAAAAACAAGTTATCGCCATGCTAGATAGATAGATAGATAGATAGATAGATAGATAGATAGATATAATTATAATATATATATAAATTGAAGGCCCGCCGTTAAGAATGCCTTTTTCATATGCGGGTCCGGCCCCAAAAGCCGGCCCTGGTGGCAGCGATGTATGTATGTATGTATGTATGGATGGATGGATGTAATTATGTAATTATGTATGTATGTGTGTGTGAGTGGCGGACAAAATCACTTGCTACTCGCAATGGACATAGCCAAAGTGGATGCCCCTATCAGTTGTGAAGGTTTGTACTTCCAAGCTATGTGTAAAAATAGGGTATCGGCGAAAATGGGGGTCCCCTAACGGTTGCGAAGGTTTTACTATAACAAATTTGAACATCCTAAGTCCACTCTCTACTAATTTAGTCTTAGCTAATTTTGTCGGTTACTCATATGTATGCAAATTGATCATATATAGTATCCATGACTTTCTACAGTTCATTATGACTAAACATGACTAAAACCTATTGTTTAATTAATCGTTCAATCACATTAAATCTCCATATTACCAACCCTAACCGGACCGTTTTTTTTTTCCCACCTGAGGCGTGCGAGCTCACTTTGCGTGCGCCGAACCAGCTCATCCATCTCTGCCTGCATTGAGTAAGTGGTTCGCATCAGCCAGTATAATAAAGGAAACCTAATACAATAAACCTACCATTTGGGAATGATTTATAGCACCAATAAAAATGATTTAGGGATGGTTTATTATTGGGTGTACTACATTTGTTAGTTTACGATCCTCTATCCATGATGAAAATAAAGACTTCGTAACCAAACCAAGTATCCTAAGACCAAGAGTTGGCTTGTAGCCGTTTACAACTTCGTTTACGGGGGAATAATCCATATTCACATCACAGGGGCACAGATTTAAACTATTTCCATCATCCACTTACTTCCAGGATCATCCAAGCAGTCATCCTCGCCATCTCCAATTTCAGGTTGGAGAAAAGGTCAAACAACAGTAACCAATGCCACGGTCAACCCCAAACCGAGGATTTAAACCTCAAACGTCTGACTTAGTCTCTATTCGGTCAAAGAGTCTCCCCCTAAAGTCTGAGCAAAAAAAACTGTGCCTTCGCCAGTTCCATGGAAGAAAATAATAGAACAATCCTGATCCTGGAGCTCATCTCCCCATCTCCTTGCCTGGTCATGTCGCAAGCGCCGCTTTAGAGCATCGCGCTCTTCTTGCAAGCGGCGGTACCTGGACGTTTTTTCTCCCTTCCTTTGCTCATTGGGGTTTTGTTGGGAAGATCTACAGGAAACCTATGCGTTTCTACCCCTAAATATATGATGGGGGGATGCATGTAAACATGTTTCCCCTCATACAATTTTGGTAGAAGGGCTATCATTCCACACGTCATGGACAATCATTCAGAGCGACGGCCATTCTCAACTAGTTGCCCTGGTTTGACCAAGAATGGGATACACCCAATGATCTATCATCATTCTCCAAATTGCAAATCATTGGTGTATACCCGACCGCACCACGTATTATGTGATGCTTTAGGTTCATGATAGAATTTTAGGGACACATATATTTCATGTATTGTTTTGTACACGACAGGCTTATATAGGATATGATGGTATGATACACGAACAAAGTCCGACAAAATTAGAATCATATTAATCTTTCAGCGACATACTCCATAAATTTCATTAAATTTCCACACGACGATGCTTTGTCCAGTGACCTGCCATTTCCAACCATACGACCCATGGCTTTCGCCCCAGTTTCGCCCGTTTTTTTTGTGGCGTTTCAGTCGCACAATTCCTGCAGTGATTCGTGGAGCTGCTTCAAGGTGGCGTTATCGTCCTCAAGGACTGGCTGGTCATACACCATGGCTTTGATCCTTCCCGGGATAAATATCGCATACGATGTTGGGATATATATATAGGGATATGTATATATATGTGGGATATAAAAGCCCCTATTTGCATGCCGAGCATATCCCTTTTCACATGGCTACATTCATCCAAGTCTTGACGGAGAGTCACATGCGTAATTTTGACTGACTGATGGCTTACCATGCCAAGCCTCCCTTGAAAATCCAAGAAATTGGAAGTTGATTCTTCATTTCTGAAGTCAAGCGGTGCTGACTCAGCAAGACAAAGCAGGGATGGAATATGAGATTATAACCACTCCCCAAAGATGCTTCAGTATATATGTGTAATCATATCATATTATATCTATAAGATATACATCTTACTTATAAGTATCAGGTAGTCACTTGAGTCTTGCTCCTTCAATTCTGCCCCAGGATATACCCCTTCCAGACCGAGAGATGGCTGTGGTTCCAGTGTGCCAAAAAAGCAATCAGAAGTTCCCCTCGTCCAAACTAACGTGGCTGGAAAATCCCCAAACTCAATGAAGGTTGCTGGGAAAATCAATGGTGAAATGATGTGAAATGTCTCAGACCCGATTGGATCCACTGGATTTTTTTTCGCGATCCAGAAATTCTCCCGCCCAGACATTGAGGCGACATGAAACTGAAACCAATCTGGCGTGCGCACTGCGAACGCACTTCGAGGCAGCTGTGAGTCAAGCTTTCGAATTGGATCTCGAAATTGAAATCGATCCATTAGCACCTGCTCATTGGTACTGTATTTGACACTTTCATCTGTTGCATGGCCTACCCCGAATTCACAGGAACATCTATGTAGAGATAGGATCCAATGGTTTTATCTCGGGGGTCCACATAAGAAGGGTTACAAATAAAAATGGTACTCACCTTCTGAACAACACCCTGGATACCATACAATCAGGCATCAATTTAGAAACGCTAAGCCGCTAACAGGTGTGAGGAATAAACCCTGTTAACAAAATAAATCCAAACTCCAAACCATCAAATCATCCAATGGCGACTGATGGCATTTTCATCCAGCAATGGGACCTCCATTCCCGTCGCTTCCAACACGATCAACCAATGTTGTCGGCATCTCTCATCAGCTTCATGGGGTTTTCCCCACGTCATGGTCAAGATGAGCCTAGGTGGGGCATGGAAAGCAATGGAACGTGGATTTCATTTCATGTTTGGGATTCAGGCTATCCCTGGTGATCAAAATAGCTGGGTTTCAATGGATGTTCATCCCCGCAACCAACTTCTAGGGATCCACCAAATATCAAGCACCCCCTAACTGCTACCATGCTATGAGTAAATGATGGTAAATCCCCTACATCCACCATGGTTTCTGGGGGGAGCCCCGTCTTCCGCTGGGGCGCTGCTGCCGCTGGTGCGGGGGCTGCGTCGTTGGGCTGCCACAAGGCCTTGCGGACACGCAGCTCCTGGCGCTGATCGGTGATTCCCTATGGCCAGATTTGATCACTTAAATGTAATATGTGTATAAATATATTGTAGATGATATCTGATGTGTATTATGTAGAATGCAAAAAATCTTGTGTGTATATATATATACACATATGGATACAATATTATAGTAGTGAGTAGGCATGATGCTAGGTTCGTTGCTTCAATTTCACCACATCATATATCATCCACCATATACATTTCATGTTCCATCATTTTTCACCATCATATTTTCCATTCATCACCCATTTCCACCATATCATCAACCATTGTTCCAATATTTTTCCCATTCATCTTCATTTTTCATTTTCCCATTTCATGTTTCCATCATCTTTCCATTCATCTTCTCATCCATATTCATTTTCATCTCATCTATCATCATCTATCATCTTCATCATCTTCATTATCATAGTTTCATAGCAACGAACCTAGCATCATGCCCCCTTATTCATTTTATCATCATAATTATTCACCAAAATTATCATCGAAAAAAACAATCAACAACCCCATTCCAACCAAAAACCATAGGAAGGGTCAAGGGTTGCTCCGATGTGGACGCTCAGCCTTTGTCAGCTGTCGCTCCTGTCCTGTGAGCAACGGCAAGTCTTCAACTTTGCCTCATCTTGTCATCGAACTCTCTACAGCGGACATAAACCAAGTCCCAATCATCGGACTCGTGGCTTTTCCACACACACTTCCTGTCTTTGTCGCGGTGATCCCACAATGCTAGTGATGTCTTCCCTCCTGCTTCGAGCAGCGCATTTTTGCGCTTGTCTCCATACTGGTGAGTCGCCCCGATGCTCACCTGGATTGCGAGAACCTCTGTCTGCTCAGCACTCTTGTAGCGCAAAATGCTGTCCAGTCTGGGGTAATTCTTCTTGTTTTTTGGAGTAAAATACCCTAACAGGTTCGCATCTACAGCGTCTTTGCCTTTGTCGTCCCAACTCTCAACAGGCTTACATTCAGCCACGGGCTTCAACAGGGAACAGTCCACCATGATGGTGCGCTTCTCCAATCCGTGTTGATCGGTGATCTTCAACTGGATGTTGTCCTTCTTGTTGATGCACTCCTCCCAGAAGTAATGCACGAGAATCTCAAACGGCGTTCCTGCGGCGCCCGGGTTCAGAGGCAACAGCCTCTCATACATCTTCTTGAATTGGGAGAAACTGCCCTTCTCATGCGCCTTGATGCTTCGAATGACGTAGTCTGAGCGTGGCACGATGTAAGCAGACACAACACCACGCTTGAAGTCATCTTCGCCCGCATTTGCAAAGGCGGTGGGATTGCGAAAGAAAGCCAACAATCGCGAGTGCTGATGGTGATTCGTGTTGGAGGTGGGGCGATGATCTGGTGTCAGAAATCTTTGCATTTCTTGCTCTTCCAGTTGCTCAACGTCATCGGAAATGTTCTCCTCGTCCTGTGCGGGATTGAACCACAAGCGAACCGAACCACCGCAAATCCTGTAGGTGTGCTCTTTCAGCTGGTTCGCACTACCCTGACTTGCCTCAAAATAAGATTGAAAATCATCTTCGGACCAACTCCACAAGACAAGCTTCTGAGCAGCAATGCTTCTGTCTTTGCCTATGATATTCTCCTGCGCGTGTCCAGAAACCAAGCACATGAACTTGACATTCGGGAAGGGCTTCGGGTCAGCACTGCTTTCCAAAATGGTGCGGACGCCACGAAAAATGTCATTGGATTCGGTGGGGCTCTTGTCCCCCACATCAATGATGCAAACATCGCACGGGTTCTCGTTCAGGACTTGCTCCAACATGCTGTATTTCCAATCATCAACTCTATACGTCTTCTTCTTCTTGAACTCGGACACCACTATCACCTCCTGGCCTCTGATGGTGACATGCAGTGTCTTCTTTTTCGTGTTCTGTAAGGCATGGGCAACCAACCAACCGCACCACGTCTTGCCAGTTCCGGGACATCCCACCAGGGAGACCAAGCGCTTGGCATCCTCTTGAACCGGAGCGGACAAAACATCCACAGCCACATCGCGCACATCGAGCAAATGTTTGCGCAGGAAAATGGGTCGGGTCGCCTCTGTGTTTGATGCCAGCCTTAGCCGTCGTCAAACAACAACTGAAAAACAACAAAGAAACACAACCCCCAAAAAAGGGACGCTAAAACCATCCAAGGCGCAATGGCTTGAAACCTGAAACATCCAAAAGTTTGTTCATCTCCAGTGCCGCCAACTCGGGCAGTTCGACCTCCGCCTCCGTGGGTTTCGGCAATGCTGTCGTTGAACCAGATGCTTCAGCCTTGCCCAAAACAAGAAAAACAAACCCTAAACCCAACTAAGCAACCCAATCAACCAACCCTATCGGAACACCCTACGAGGGCACCAAACCTAGGGGGAATAAACCACTACGCTACAACCAAAGAGCCAAACCCTACACCTAATAAGTGAGAAATTCAAAAAAGCCTATCGGGGAAGCCTACGAATAAACGCAACAAATAAAAAACACAAGGCCTACTGCTGTAGAAAAAAATGCCAGATAAAGGGCAGGTGCTGGGGGGAAAGCATCTTGAATCCGCCTGTGCAGCGTTCCCACCACTATAAGCCGTGTTGTGTCATCTTGAATTATTTTCTGCAAATACGACGACAAGTTTTCCCGGGAGTCTTTGCAGAGGACATCATCGGGAACCTTCAACAGGGTCTTTGCCACAGTTTCCTTTTCGACGCCATCGATGTCCAAGTCTTGAAGCTTTTCCAGCAAGAACGAAGATGTGAGTTTCCGCCGCTTTGTTTCAGACTCCGCCATTGCAAGGAGGGATGTTGCACACAGATCTTTTGGCAAAAAAAATGTCTGACGAACAGATCTACGAAAGGATTTCTCACATGCAAGGTGTTGAACTCTAGGGCACAAAACCAGTGTGCACCATCATCTGCTTTAAGCTACTCGTTTTTTGAACAAGAAAACGCTGAGGATTTGGGCAGTTGCTTGGTTCCTAGGCCAGTTCGCTTCTTGGTCGGCTTACTATTCCCAGCAGAATATTCTGACATTTGTAGAAACAAATAGGTGGTAAAACATAATTTAAATTATCTTGCCAAAAAAAAAATCATCTTATCATTACTTTCTAAAAATCTCATAGATTAATTCTTCCGGGATTCTAATGATTTCACTATATTTATTTATCTACATATTTTTCTTCGTCTTCGTCATATTCAATCTCATAAAAGTTCAATGTTGTTTGTTTGGGTTGTTTTATCTCTTTGTTATTCAATTTTGTTAGATAGACGGCACGCTTGTTTTTGAATTCGGCACTATTTGGAGCAATATAAGTAGATTGAGTTTTCTTTTCAGTTGCTTCGTTCATCTTCTCTAACAATTCCAAAACCGATTTAACATTTTTGTTACATCTATTAATCTTATTGGTCAATTCATCTAACTTTTCTAAATTAACGTCACAGCTTCGCTCTGAGAAGTCTTTAGACTTGTCACTTGCATTTGCCTCACTACAACTCATTATATATACAATACTATAGATTTTATTTTAAAACTTTTATCAAACTTTTAATCCA